CCACCAAATCCGGCTGTCTTCGGAACAAATGGACCACTCGCCACCTCAGCCTCATGCCTAATGTTTCTAAATAAATTGTAACACTCGATATTCCCCCTCACTGGCTATAGACCGCACGGACTACTTATCCTCCATTTCCTCTACAAGCCTTACAGTCTCCAACTCTTGTCACACTGCTAGGAGTTCGCTTCTTTTCTCAGAGTTCTTTCATCTGATGCTCCATTTTTTCTCGAATACCTTTCCTTTAATGCAATTAATCACAGGTTAACTCTTGACTTATCACTTAACCGACTAGGCCTGCTAACTCTGGAACCATGAACAGAAATAGTATTCAAAGGGACTTGCCGAGTTTCTCCAGCGTTGTGGCCAGGTCACTATTATTCGTCATCAACGTCCTTTTCGATCGAATTATTGCCCCTAAAGGATTGCATGGCAGAGTACAAACCAGAATTGTGCACACAGTGAGTGGGATTAGGCTTCCTTTTCTGGTCCACGCTTTTCCTGTTCCATTCTGTGAACGTATGCTAATTTTGTGTTTCGTTCACTGGGTTTCTTACTGCAGTTCAGCGAAATTATCAAGAATGAATTTTACCAAACAATAACCTTGACATCATTTTTCAAATTTCCTACGCTAAATCGTTATTTTTGATTAAAAAAGCCTGAGAGTGACTATAGCTAAGATGAACAGATGGAAAAATATATCCTTTCCATTTGTTATTTCCTTCTAATTAGCTTCCTTTTTACATTCCTCTTTTGATTCTGCGATCGTCTGGAACCTTATTCTTTTGAGGGATACACATATATAGACTAAAACTTGTAATCATTCTTTGTTACGTCTGTATATCATGACTGGCTTGACGTACCACTCAACGAGACTACAACGATGGTACTATATGATCTGTTGAGCAAATGAAAACGCTCTTTTTATCGGCGTGACAACGACTTTGAAATGTACGTTATCTCAGTGGTATGCATATATATACTTTTCTTCCAAACATTCACCACTTATTCGTTTGTGATTTCTTTCGGTGAACACCGATCTTCCTCTTACTAATTACATGAGTACCTGCTATTTTAATGTCGGAACCAGCATAGTTTATCAGATAGACATGAATCATGATCGTTTGGAGCTTCATATGGGTAGTGGTCTCATCTACCTCACTTTTGATATGATATCTAGTTCTCATCCGAACCCTGGCGGGTGGTACTGCACATCCGGAGGTGATGCTCGGCGTGATCCGAGTATTCGGCAATCTAACTCGCCAACCGCGAGTACGAACTTGGATTTCTCAACAAGCTGGGCAACTCCTGTTTGATGGATCTCAAACTTCCGGAGTGATTGATCCACCTACTCCATGGCCTAGTCATGTGCCAAAAGATCGGGCTATGTTGTACATTTTGATACAGAATTTGGATTCGTCCCGTCCCGAACTCGTCTACAGTACCCTCGGTGTGTTAATCAATTTAATGGCTGATGTGAACGAACGGCCTGCATTTAAAGAACTCGGTGGAATTTCAAAGTGAGTTGTCTCCAGTTTCCAAGAAAAACAGATTTTGAACTGTTTTTTCCTACAAATTTATTCGTTCCGGAGGTTTACTGTCTATGACCGCATACAGCTGATACGTGATCTACAGTCTTTCCAAAAATTTCATTTGTTCTGGAATCGATCCCTTTTCCTCCGGAGACAAAATTCGGTGGTGTAGCAACAGTCCGTTCAGAAAAGTTCTACCAAGCATGTTTGTTATAACGGAGACGTCCCTCAACGGTTTTATAGTTCGTACTCTGTGCATTACTTTCGAAGGTTTCCTGGAGTCACAATCGGTTTCCAGGTAAAAGTATACGGTACTTTCCTGTTAAGCGTCTCATACTCCTTATATTATTTTTACCACAATCTCTTAATTTTCACCTCAGGCTTGTTTTTGTACGTTAGTGCAGCTGGTTCCCCGGGGACTTAGCCGGCTTCATGAATGTCTGTGATCGCAGCAACCGTTGCCCGGTGATTGATGGCAAGATTCTACAGATGTTGATCCATTTCATCTCCCACCGATGAGTGCCATAAACCGTCCGAAAAATAGGTTTGTCTATGTCTTAGAATGTAGTGTCCAGTCCGGTTTTTATTTCTCCCCTTTGTCGGCGGCGGCGGCAACCTGGGCAATGAGACAGTGGTTTAAAATTTTTGCCAATGCGTGGTCTCCAATTATTCATCTACTATGGACTTATTGTCGCGCTACTCAACATTCATCTTAGCGTCTGTACCGTTTCAAGTTCAAGTAAATCAATTTAGAGTATCAAGCTTGCATTAGCCCATTGGATTTTTCAAAGGCACGAGGCACTCTTGATGGTGTTGACTGAGCCATTCGCACAAGGTGGTGACCGTCGACCGTGTATCCCAGGGGTAAGGGTTTGAAGTCCCGACCCGAATGTTCGCCGTTCGAGTCCTGACAGGGACACAAAAAGTACGCACTCTTTACGAGTACCGAACAGGATGAAACAGTTATCCAGTGCTCTTTGTTGGTTGTCACAAACATTTCCGTCACATTTGAATGCATTTACTTCGTGGGGAATTAACGAGCTCCCAAAGAGTGAAGCAGTCGAGCTCATCTCGCCGAAACCTTGGTTACTCACTCAAAATATAACTCAATGGAGAAATCAGGTTTTTCTGACAGTTGTTAGACCCCAACCAACAGATAAGGCGTAACAGCTGAAGGACAATCAGGAACATTAGAACGTGGCTGAGTGTCATAAATCGTGGCGCCCGTGCATCTTCTCAACTTATTCAGTCTTAAACAACCGGAATGCTCCATTCTGCCTTAGATACTGCTTTTAAACTTCCTTCCTTCATCTGAATCGCCTGCTGAAAGACAGCAAGAAAGTGCATGGGTGACGGTAATTCAAACTGAGACANCCCCCCCCCCTCCGGTACCCATCTTCATCCTGCAGGTCCTTGCACCTTTTCACCATCTAATGGCTTTTGCTCTTCATTTTGCAAGGTCATTCTCATCAGAATTACATTGGACTTGTAATAAAATGGAAATATGAATGTATATTTATTTAGGGTTTAGACCATATCAAATATAAAGACGGAATCATCTTAAAGATTCATCAAGACAAGGTTTTTGAATTCACTCCCTTGAATGCAAATGGAAACACTGGGAATATGTTCTTCAAATTTTAAATGACCTTTTATATTCCGATTACAGATAATATATTCTACTTTTTTCCGTTTTGTCTCATTCCCCACGTGCAGGTTGGTCGAAGTGTTGACAGATTTTGCCGGACACGATTGGCAGCTAGCCGGCCTTGCATGCAAAGCATTGTGGAATTACACCGAAGCCCCGAACATCTCTGTTCGTAAATTGATCGATGCCCAAACTTTGAATGAAGTACATAATCTCTTGACTGAATTCACAGGTAAGTGAAAGCATTTTGTAATATTAGTATGCATGTGCGAATGAATAATGCTGGCTAGATGTGTTAGCGTGCTGATGAGCACGATTTATATATATATATATATATATATATGGTCCGAATATACCATCATTATGTATTTTTTAAACAGTTCCGAACAAGCTCGTTTGCGGTAATTCTTCTACAGGCTAATACGTCACAATTTATATCAAACTGTTTAGTAGGACGGAGAAATCATGACAGATCGGAAAGGAAGTAATCAAAATTCCAGCTCCATGACCGGATATTGCTCACACTTTGGTCATCACACATGCGCATTGGTTCGGGTCATAANGGGTGAATTGGTGGTTGTTTCGTGTGTGGTGTTAAGTATGGAAGACCGAGTGTTCTTACGAATCGTTTTGGGAGCATAGAGGGGGGTATGTGGACAGATTACGATCTCTTCCGCTGTGACAAGAATGCAACTCTTAAGCCCCTTGAATCGGCGGCTGCGAACTAAATAGAGGGGTCAAAACGCCTCAGCCATGTTCACCGCATGGTTTGATTACACTAGGTGTGAAACGATCAAACTGTTGGTGGTTATAATTACTCTACTATTCACCCAGACCGGGTGGTACTCACAGACTCGTCCAGATAAACATCAGCTCGTGCGGCCAATATACCGTGTCCCACAGGAGAAGGTAAATAAGTACACACAAAAAGATACAGAATGCTGGAACGAGCAATTTATTTTTTAGTTGAAAGCAGGAAAGTGGCCTGGAGATGAACACAAGGCGTAGTTTTGCTGCGAAGAATGCTACTTCTGCAAATGTACTCAATTTGCGCGACGCCATCTCGGCATTTGTGTCGCCCTTGAAAGAGAGTGATGTGTAAACGGGTTCCTTCTCGGCAGTAGTGATCTTATTTGGCAACTGGTGGCGCCTCGAAATGTTGTCCACAAATCGCTCTGGGAAGGAAGTGTCTCGAACAAACCTCAGTTCTGTCTGAATGGTATTGTTCGTACATATTATCCGAGCCCTGATAGAGAAGCACTGAATCCGCTTTCTTTTTCGTTCCAAAGGCACAGCTTTTGAAGTAGATATGCTGATTATTCCACGATGGCTTTCTGTATATATATTTACATGCCTGAAGACTTGTATATAACTCGCTAAGGCTTCAATACAATACAATGTAGAAAATAAATAGTTCTCCAATGCTCTATATTGGTTATGAGACGATAATTCTCATCTCAATTGAACTGAGTTTCACATTTTGGGAATGGACAAAATTCTTCAGAGTGAAAATCACGACTTCAAATACCGTACGTAGTGCTGAATGTCTGCGAAAAAGCGAATGGGCCCATCTGAATATCGAATTGTAAAGGAATTTTTTCGTTTATTTTTCGTGTTACTTTTGTGACAACAACCTTTACTGCCCTGTCCACTTCTGTGAAGAAAATGAGACTTCAGGTAAAGAGAAAGCTCATCCCAGAATTTTATTACACGATCTACGAGACCGCAAACGATTAATATGAAAGTCAGGAGATAAGATGAATCTCATAATTGAAGATGGTTCGGCTAACTCAAACCCATACTGTGTATTCTGCAGCAGTTCGGCCAGTTCTGCTCTACGGTGCAGAGACATGACCATTCGAGATCAAGGTGAAGACTATCGGTGTTCGAACACCGCTGTCTACGTCGCATAGCCCAAGTCTGGTAGTTTTTACAACCATTAACCATGGACTTTCGTGCGCCCGTTTTGGTTGCTATCTTTTGATCTCCCATTTGGATAAAAGAGCAGAATGAAGGTTGAAATGTTGACAGAAAATTCAATCGATGACTGGAGCTGTAAGAACAATGAGTTTGCGATACCCACCCATATCACTCAGTGTCTCTAACCACCGGCGACCATGATCTTGGGGTCCCCATCGAGGGAGCCTAACGGGACCTATGTGACGCAGTATCCTGATTAGGGTTTTCTTACCCTCATGCCAGGTATTAGTCTGACCCCCCTTGACGTTTTTTCAGCCGCTACCTGCCTCGGCAAACGTCGCTCGCTGTGGCAACCTATCTGGTGACATGCGTAACACATGCCCCAACCAACGTGCGGTTGCTATAGATCTAGCCGAGACGAATCGCACCGTGGATGTGCGAGAATCGTTTCATCCGGTCTATTTCCGAACGGAGAACCGATCTGAGTATGTTAAAGCCCGACTGTTTTTACAGCAGAGGCGATAGCGATTGGAATTTTTTAAACCCACTTTATGCACACAAACAGCTCGTTAAATCCCTTTCCCTCCCATGGCCATGTGTCCAAAATGCCCCCACCTAACATTTCAGTCGAATATTTACACTCCGCAAGGGATTTTCATCTATCATGCGATCAGTATTAAAGATAGAAATGGTGGGTCCACAGAAGGAGTGCTTGTGTTCTAAAATTCGATGAAGAATGAAAATATGGTCCATACAGCCTCGACTAGGTCTAAAACCAGCCTGGCTCTCACGCATGCACGCTTCACGTACGAAGAGGTGGGCGGTTTTGTTTCTTCTGCGAGTAGTTGGTGTTTGACAGAAACAGTCCGTGGTCAGCGCAAAGTTGGAGTAGGCGTTCTCCGTTGTCAGTCAATTTAGCTGGGATCGCATTTGAAGCCTTTCTGATTCATCCAGGGATCCAACTTAAGCTTTGAAGTCTCCAGCGACTAACACAATAGTGTTCGGACATTGAATGCGACTAAGTGAAGAGGAGATTTTGGTTTCAAAAATCTGTTAGCTTCTGAGTGGTTGGCCTCATTAGTTGAACGCTAAGTGATATCCCATGGGTGGTGCAAACAAGAGGCGTCTCCTAAGATTTAGGAGTGAGAAGAGGATCTGGACAGATGAGAATTTTGTTTTTCCAAATGGGTAATCAAGACTTTGGGGCACGACATACTTCGCGGGAGCTCACACCGACAAAGGAGCTCATCTTTAGGAACCCTAATCGGAGCCTTTGACTCAAGAGTCTGGCCCGCAAGGCAGTGGAGCGTAAATCCAACTTGGATGCGTGACCGAAGCACCCGTGTGGGAGCTTCTTGAGACGTGTCACTCAAGGTCTTTGGTTTTTCGTTCTGTGTATTGTTCACTGGTGCAACCAAAACCGACACACAAAAGTGCATCGTCAATGGTTGCTCAAAGTGAACTGAACTGATTATCGGTCCGCTGTTTAGTATTGGCACTTATTTTCATGCACCCTATGAGCCAAGCGGAACGTGGACGGAACAGCACCTTATTGGCTGGGAGCTGTCCAGCTTGGGCGGATGGTAGCTGTCCAATGAAGTGCGAAGACTTCTCCCACCATCAGGAAGAAGCCCCTGGTACCCCACTACTACGTCCATCTAGCGGGGTTTTCTTCACTGGTAAACTGTCCCTCCTCGTGTTTATTTGCTGTAGTGACCTCTTCTGGGGCTGGAGTGGATATTCAAAGGAAGTCAGGAGGCGCCCAAGTAGCTGGCCTCTATCAATTGACCTTTCAGGCATGATTAGATCTGCAGTTGTGAAGAATCATCCTGTGTAGCTCCCAGGGTCATGGAGGCACGCAAGCCATCACACCAAGTCAAGGTGCAGTCTTGTCGTCCACTACCATAGAATGCGTTTGTTGGGGGCATAGGTTGCCTTATGTCACAAGATAGATTGCCAAAGCGCGTACTGTTCGTCGAGGAAAATGATGGGTGGTCAAACTCAGACCCTGTATGAGGTTACGAAAGTCCTGACCAGGAGTACTGCTCACGTAGACAGCGCCAGGCTTCTTGGAAGGGTACTTCGGGATCTTTGTAAGCAATGTTTAGAGACACTGAATGATATGGCCGTGTGTCTCAAACAGTGGTGCTCATTCAT